AGCTGATTTCCGTGAAGCACACGCAGCTGCAGATCGCGACGCATCGTCTCCAGACGGTACACCTTGCCCCCGACTTGCTGACCCAGCTTTCGAAACAGATGCTCCTGGTCCCCGATGCAAAGTGTGCCCGTCAACGCCACGCGTTTGATGTTGGTCCATCCGCCAGAGCCCACACTGGCTGCGACTTCGTTCATCACATCTCGGTAGCTGGCATCTGAGATGAGCGTGTGCGCCTCGTCCATCACCACGGTGCGGATGCGCTGAAAGCAGACCTTCCCGTGTAGCGATTCAGATCCCACGCGGACAAACATGTCGGTCGTAACGATGAGCACGTCCAGGCCATCTGCCATTTGTGTAGAGGGACCAAGCCATCGCTGGGCACTGTGACCTGCGCCTTGAAATCGCCGCAATAAATCGTTGGCCACGGCCACAAACGGCACAATCCACAGCACCGTACCGGCATGCGGGCGACAGCCCAGCTTGGGCAGGGTACAAAATGTTTTACCCATGCCTGTCGGTGCAACAACAATCAGCCATCCATCTTCCGGCCGGTGCTGGTCAATGGCCGCAGCCAGGTCCAACTGTTCTTGGCTGTTGAAACTGTGGCCCCAGGAGATGGTCGCCTGCTTGGCCAGCTGGGTCATGTAGGGTACGTCATGTTCGGCCCTCGTGTTCATGATGATACGCCCGTTTGCCTCGGGCGAGAGGTCAGTCACCGGGTTCCAGCTGATGGGATAGCGAGCTTCCAATGCTTCTTGGTTAGCGGTCAACTCGGCTATGCTGCGCTTGCGATCTAGTCCAAACAAAGCATGCCACTTTTGCGAGGCCACTTGATGCATCAGTCGCGACGACATTTTGGTTTGCACATGGTCACTGGCTGTGCGCGCATAGGCCCGCTGGGCCGTGTCCCCAGAGTGTTGAGCTTGAGTGTGGATCAGGCTGCCCAGGGCGCCGGTCGTCTCGGCCGACAGTCGATTAATGACAAACGTCGTCATCCAGAAGGTTGCGGCGTGTCGCCACGTGGCCACCCCCAGCTTTGGCCGATGCAGGTACGTGGTCATTTGTCGACGA